GGGGGGGGGGGGGGGGGGGGGGGGGGGGGGGGGGGGGGATATCAGTGAAAATGTAAAGTTGATTTGACAGGACTTTGTTCTATAAACCCGCTCTCCCCTCCCTCCTCCCCTCCTTTAGTCCTCCACATATTCAAGCAAAGCTTTCATATTAATTTTTATGACCTGCGCTCTGAGGAGGGTTCTCTCTGCTCTCCTCGGCGCTGCTCGCCTTTGGAAAATGTTTTTTTTTTAAGATCCTGAGAGCTGCCTGACACAATTCCCCACTGACTCCAGTATGCGCACTCTTCCTTGCAGCTGCAGGGCAATATATTCGGAGGCTTTGATGAGAGCCTGCTGGCGCGTGCAGAAGCTCTGGCGGCTGCTGACAGCATCGTCTCCCAAGGCAAGAGCCACCCGTTCAAAGCAGACGTGACGTACCATACCATGAGCAGTGTCCCCTGCACCTCAGCCTCCTCTTCCTCCTCCACCACCGTGCCCATCTCCCACCACCACCACCACCACCACCATCACCTCGGACAGACCCTGGAGGCCGGGGACCTCCTGGACCACCTTTCCAGCAGCCTGGCCGTGACCGGGATGGGCGCTCCGGAGCCTCCGGGTATGGCCACCCCGGCGCACCACCACCACCACCAGCACGCCCACCACCACCTGCAGACCATGGGGCAGCTGCACCAGGCCATGGCCACCATGGCCCACCCGCACTCCCTGTCCGTGCACGGCGGCATGGCGTGCGTCAGCGACGTGGAGTCGGATCCCCGCGAGCTGGAAGCCTTCGCGGAGCGCTTCAAGCAGCGGCGCATCAAGCTGGGGGTGACCCAGGCGGACGTGGGCGCAGCGCTGGCCAACCTCAAGATCCCCGGCGTGGGCTCGCTGAGCCAGAGCACCATCTGCCGGTTCGAGTCCCTCACCCTGTCCCACAACAACATGATCGCGCTGAAGCCGGTGCTGCAGGCCTGGCTGGAGGAGGCCGAGGCCGCGCACCGGGAGAAGAGCAGCAAGCCGGACCTGTTCAACGGCGGCGACAGGAAGAGGAAGCGCACGTCCATCGCCGCGCCGGAGAAGCGCTCCTTGGAGGCGTACTTCGCCATCCAGCCGCGGCCCTCCTCGGAGAAAATCGCGGCCATCGCGGAGAAACTGGACCTGAAAAAGAACGTGGTTCGAGTGTGGTTCTGCAACCAGCGGCAGAAACAGAAACGAATGAAGTACTCTGCGGTGCACTGACTTTTCTCTCCTCTTCATCCCCCCCGTGACATCATGAATAAAAGAGCCTTTTACATTTTTGATCGACTGATTAATAATAACCTGAGGAGCCGAACAAACAGGGATTCATCAGCAGCTCTGTGCGTCTCACAGCCTCCAAAAGAGAAAACAAAAGTTGGACCTCCTCCAACTGGCTCAGTTTGTGTCACTCATCACTCATTGTTGCACTTTCCTTTGTTCGATTTTATTATTGGTGGTATTTAATTTTGTTTTAAGTTAAGGTTGATGTGTTTGGTTATTATTACACTTTTCATGAAATCTTGTATCGTTCAGGGCGTTTTTATTTTTATTTCACATGATTTGACTTCAGAGGACTGCTGTGTTTTCAAGTGTTTTATGGCTATAAAAAAGAGAACACTATTTTTTTCTTTAACACTGGTTAAAATATTAAATGCAGAATAGCTGACACCGTGTTTTACACTTTTTTTAATTATTCTGTGGAACCTTTGGAAGAGTGTCAACATTGTTCACTTTTGAATCACTACTGATCTGAATCGGCTCCATGTGTGATCGTGATTTACGCACAGAAAAAAAAGAAAAAAGAAAAATCCAGTAAGTCTTTCACAGGATATGACACTGCTGCTATATTTTAATATGTTGATGTGATTTTTTTTTTTGAAAATTGCAGGTAAGATATATTTATTTAGATATATTATTTAGTTACATTATGATGTAATCACATGATCTGAGTATTTATTTATTCTTTCTTCACTCTGGATTTCACTTGGATTTTAAAAAAAGTATATTTAAACTGAATAAATTATTGGTTATTTTCTAAAAATCCATCATATTTTTGTGCTTTATGGATTTAATTCTTAATCTTTTTTTTATTTTATTTTTTTCTTGCCTGTTTTAAAATGTGGCCCGGGGCCTGGAAATGGTGCGTTTATGGTTTCTGAGTCATAAAACAACAACAACTTGTAATCAGATTGTTTGTTGTGGTTGTTTTTTTAAACGGATTGTATAATTTAAAAGACCCTCAGCAGGAATTAAAAATACATTGTTGCATTTAAAACAAGGCAAAAAAAAAAAAAAACCTCAACAGGGACCGGATACGTTTCGTTTTTATTATCTTACAAAGATTTTCTTACTATTTAGCCGCAYCCGATGCGCTCCTGGCCCCCCTGTAATTAGTGCATTCTCAATTATAGATGTCCACCCGGCTTGACTCGTGCGTGGGGTTTGAAATTATTAAGTAATGATGATGCAATATTAATTGTAGATGTGTATAAAGGCAAGTGAGATGTTAGACTGCTGGTGACTCCAGGGAGACGTAAAACGCACAAGTTGGACACGGAAACAAGGATATACTTTGCTTTTTTATTGATTTATTTTTTTATGTTTTTTTCACCTATACACTTTTTGTTTGTTTGGTTGGTTAAGTGAGTATTTCTTTTTTATGACTTATATCTTAAAACCTTTTATTCGACAAATAGGCCTATAATCTATTAGCGCAAAGTTGTTCAACGTTTCCTCAATTAAGGATTGTGTTTTGATTATTGTTTTCTAATTTTTACGAGTATTTTTGTTAGACTGTATGAAATCTGGCTTCTTTTTCTTTTGAGTACATTTTGGCACAATTGGAGACCTCCTTGCGCGCATTTTACGCATCACCTTCACGCGTTTTACGCACTTTCGCGGCGTTCAACATTTCTTTTGGAGAACTAAGCTGTGAAATTGCACACAAAAAAGAGGCACTTTAACAAATCTTAAACAAATGTAATTAAAACGAATGGATTAATTAGCTGAGTTGCTAAAAAAACGCTTCCGCCGGATTCCAGCACATGACTCCCGGCTGTGTGCGCTTCTCCCTGGGAGACTGTGGGCCGGTTGCTTGTTGCAGGGGATCCATTCTTTATTTGCAGCTCTGCGGAAACGTTTGTGGCTCTCATGAATATTCTCTTTGATGGTGATCAGGGGTGAATCATATCAGTCCGCTGGAAATTCATGGTGTGAAATGGAATTTATGTGAAGAAGGGCGGCAAAGGATGAACGGTTTTGCACCATGGATGTTTTATTTCTGCAAAATGTCCCTTTTATCATCACATCTGACAGGATGAATGTAAAATAGTTTTTTTGATGATGTAAAAGTGGGATTTGGCAGAGTGAATAATTGATCCGTGTGATACCAGTATTGATATCAGAATGTTCCGTGGTAAGTTGAGCTGAAGGCCCGTGAACCTTAGCGGCATGTGGCGACTGAGGGCCTCTGAATTATTCAGCAGAAGCTGAAAGGTATATTCCTGTTTTTCCTGCAATAACCCAGGTGCGCAGGGAGGCAAATGCACATTATCAGCAAAAGAAAACAGCTTGAATCACATCAAAAGAGATTTTCAAGGAAAACAGACTAATAAGA